TAGAACTGCCTGTCATGACATGAAATGGAGCTGGTACGACAACATAAACAAATCTGAGTCGTTGCCGCGAGTTGTTTTAATAACCGTAGTATTAGCGTGTGGTGTAGCGAGTTCTGTGCAGCTCACACGTTTATTGTTGCTGCTTCGCACAAAGAGCTCGTCATGCTTCTTGCTGTCCCCATCCACCTTTCCAACCAGTCTGTAGAACTTACTATACACTGCGAGTAGTAAAATCCCATTCTTCTGCTGCGGGGGAATGGGGGCTGTTTTGTGCGCCAGGAATCTGAACTACAACGATATTTCTGGGACTATACCTGCTAACATCAGCAAGCTTAGCAACCTGCAGAATATGTGAGGAGGCAGCAGTGCAGCAGAACATGTCCATTGCACGTGATGCAGTGTGTTCACATGTGGTGATGTGGTGTGGTGCTATGATACGGTGCACTGGATTCACATGGGGCGCTGTGCTGTGATTGCTTGAGTTGTTGTGCCGTGTTCGCATGCTCTTGCTCTTTCACCTCCCACAGGCCATCTAAGATGGCGGTGTGTGCCTATTCTACTGTTCCCTGGAACATCCAACCATTTGATTCTATTGTTCTCTGGAGTTCCCACTGTGTCCTCTTGCTCCACTGCGGTGTGTGCCTCATGTCATGTAAAGTGGGCACCTTTACCTTTTCTGTCACCCTTGCTGCAGCGGCATGGAGTGGAATGCTCTTGAAAGCTCACTTCCCTTGGAGTTGTCCTCCCTGAAGAAGCTTACAACCCTGTGAGTCTCTGCTACTGCTACTGCTGCTGCTGCTGCTGCCGCCGCCGCCGCCGCCGCCGCCGCCGCCGCCGCCGCTGCTGCTGCTGCTGCTGCCCCTGAACGTGCCCCCTTTTGGTCTACTGCAAGGTTGCCAGCAATAGCAGCATCTGCGCCCATCATACTGCATTTCCTCCTTTATTGTGATTGTCCATGTCAGGGGACTGAGCCACAACTCTCTTTCTGGGTCGCTGCCACGCTCTCTAGCACTGCTCTCCAACCTTGCCATCTTGTGAGTGCCATTCTCTCTTCCACACACCCTCTTACCACACCCACTGCACTCCCTCCCACCCACCACACTCCCTCTCACCACGCTCCCTCCTCCCACCACACTTCCACTCACCCCACACGACATCCCTTAAACCACGCCGCTGGCTGTCTCTCGTCGCCTTTGCTACTCTTGAAGTCTGCAGTGTGCTATGTTGGAAAAAAAAAAAAAAAACAAAAACAAAATAATAACAAAACAAACCGCAAATGTGCAATGCAACCATCTCGAACTCAAATATTGAATGCAACCGCTTTTTCCTTGGCCAATGTCACACAATCTCACAAGCAGCTGAATGCTAGTAGCCAGAGGAGCGCAGATCTAGCGTTCCGTCGCCAGGTCGGCACGGTTTTAGCCCTATGCCGGGACACCGTATTCTGAGCGTATCCGAAACCCTGGAATCCACCGTACAACGTACGTACATGGGCACATAGTACGAACGCGTCTGGTACACCATGCACGTATATTACAACGTAGGCAGTGTGGTCCCCCCCGCCCTATGCCTCTGCAGTGTGGTCCCTCCTCCCGCCCCATGCCTTTGCTGAATATGTTTGATCCGCTCTCTCTGTCGTGCGTTACCTTAGTGATTATGTCTTACAGTTTTGCCAACTCCATGTCGTTATAATGTAGTTATACATTTTCGAACAGAACATGAGGCTTTTGCAACACTCTTCTACTGCCTTTTCTCTCCTGTTGTCTCACACTTCCCCGTTCCGTCGACCTCCTCTCCCATCTCTGTTTCCCTGTCCGTCCTGCATCTCCAGATCCCTGAGCTACAACAGTTTCACTGGACCCCTGCCCGAATTTCTTTCCCAGCTCCAAGGGTTGTCACAATTGTGAGCACGGCCCAGTATTGGCCGGCGTCGCAGCTGTCTGTCATCCCAAGCATCAGGCTGACAATAACGCCACTAGTTTGCACAGCAGACGTGCATCACGCATCCCACCCTCACACCCCTTACCTCCTTGTGCCGTGCTGCCTCTGCTGCTGCTACTATTGCTACCTCTGCTGCTGCCTCTGCAGCTGTTATGATTTCCATTGTGCATTCTGCCCCAGTGCATGACACAGCCGGCAAGTATCGCCTCCTCAGGTACCTTGAGTACAACCAACTGCAAGGAAGTATCCCTTCATCGCTCGGAGCCCTCTCTCAGCTGCGCATCCTGTGAGTCCAATCCGAGGCTCATCACAGGGAAAGACTGACCTGAGACCCGCTCACAGCACCACTTCACTTCCTCCCTCCCTGCATGAGTCATCCTGTGGGGGGGATGGGGGGGGTGGAGGGGGCGCTATACCCATAGAGGATAGTTCTGATGAGCATAGCTGTTTTGATGCTCTCCACCACCAACCAGCAACCTGTTGCACAAACATGACTGCGGCGTTGTTCCCTGACTTGTTTCTCCTGGCCATGTCTGCCCTTGCATGCCATGCCTCTCTGTGTGCTCTTGCATGCCCATGCATGGCTTTACGCATGCCCCGAACTGCAGGCTGTTGGGTGTGAATGACTTGAGCAGCACCATTCCCTCCACACTGGCCAACCTCAAGAACCTAGAAGTCCTGTGAGCACCCAACCTTCGCTGCTCCTGTTTTATTGGACCTTTCTCTTGGTTTGTTTCTTTGTTTGCTTGCTTACTTTCATCCTTTGTTGTCAAGCCATTCACGATTAAGTGTTCGTCCAGTAGTCCCTTTTAAACCATTCTTCCCATGCTTCATCAGGCCCCTTTTGTCGAGTCATCCCTCGTAATCAATCCAATACACACACCTGTTATCACCCCCTCCCCGTTCATCCTTCTCCTTGCAATGCCCACAGTTCACTCCGCAGATTACGCCTGCACGGCCAGGTGCCTCTGGCTCTCAGCTCATTGCAGAAGATGTGGCACCTGTGAGTGTGTTTTTTGGGTTGACTCAAAAGGCATTGTAGAAGCTGTGGCACCTGTGGGTGTGTTTTTTGGGTTGACTCAAAAGGCATTGTAGAAGCTGTGGCACCTGTGAGTGTGTTTTTTGGGTTGACTCAAAAGTCATTGCAGAAGCTGTGCGTGTGTTCACTGGATCTGGATGTCAGGAAAGCGTGTTCCTGTCAATGAGCTGCTGTTGTGGTATTAATCTGGGCCTCCTTCGCTGCTTTTCACAAAGCATTAAGTTGCGAGCTGGCTGTGTGGTTCGTGGTCGCTTGTGACTCTTGAAAAGGGGACGATCAGGCATTGGCTGTCACAAGCTGGAGGCCTTGCTTCTTACCAGAAAAATGATTTACCTCTCACAAGGAAAATGTATCCTGGGAGCTTAGGTGGCATCCGAGGACCGTAGGTAGGATCAAAAGCAGAACAAGTATGGAACGTGCGTCACTTTGACGACCAGTTGGCAATCTGAGCCCGGTTCATCAGGTGATAGTGTTGATCCACCCTGCTTGCATTGCACGCTTGTTGAGCTGGCTTCACTCGTGACAAGTTGAACCCTTCAGAAGACGAGCCAAGGTAGTGGGTGTGGTTTCATTCGTGGGCCCGGCAACCTGCCCATGCCCAGTATAATACCTTGCTTCCTCACTTGAGCTGATTTTATTGTTTGCGTCGCATCTCCCACCTGCTACCAGTATTGATCTTGCTGCTCTGTTCATGTCGTGTAGTAGTTCTATATATGTGAGCATGTACATAGCTGCGATGACTAGAATGAGCTGCGTATTGATGGAGTTGAGGCAGGGACGAGCCGCGGACGAGCCAGCCTGGTGCGCTGGCAGCTGGTGGCTCGTCCATGTAGGCAAGGTTACCGAGGCCTGCCGAGGTCAGAACAAGTCCAGAATGTTTCGCAACGAAAGCTGGGCACATCTCGTCTTTCTTTCCCATTAGCTGGTGGCGTCATTGCCACACCACCAGATTTTGAAAGCATCTGATGTTTCAGAACACGCTCATGTCAACGAGCCTGCGAGCTGACAGGCTGCCCCTGCACGCTGGCCCGTCGAGATGTCTTGCGTGAATTGGCAAACCTGCAAGCTGATCTAGTTGGGGACGAGCCGGCAGCGCTGATGTCCTTGTTGGGAAGCGATTAATTGAAAATGTCTGTACCCACCTAACCTAATCCACGCTTTGTTGTCTGTACCCATTAATCTACATTAAATTGTCTGTACCCTAATCCACCGTACAGTGTCTGCACAAAACTCATGCAATTCATGCTTCAGGTTTGGAGGAGCTGATTAACACGGAAGAATCATTTTCCACGATTGCATGTGATGGCATGTGGCATGTGTCCGCATGTACTGCCATGTGATGGCATGTGATGGCATGTGATGGCATGTGATGGCATGTGATGGCATGTGATGGCATGTGATGGCATGTGATGGCATGTGATGGCCCGTGATGGCATGTGATGGCATGTGCCCGCATGTGATGGCATGTGATGGCATGTGATGGCATGTGCCCGCATGTGATGGCATGCGATGGCATGTGCCCGCATGTGATGGCATGTGCCCGCATGTGCGTGGCAGCGAAGCCCGTCTGCGAAATGCTTTAGGTTGATCAACGTGGAATTGTCGGAAATTGTTGGTGTTTTTAGCTTAACAGAGAATGATCAGAATGCATAGTGACATATTGGTCGTTCATCATCTCGTACCATTATATAATGCAGATGAAGATGTAGCTAGTTCGTAATGTATGATGGTATAGAGCCATATACCAAACCAAACCAAACGAGTTGCAAAAAAATGGTCAAAGTCGGGAGTGTGTGTACCCCTGTCTTTTCAAATTCGTGGTGTTTTTTTTTTTTTTTTTTTTGCTAGAGTGCACACGTTTCGCTACCGTTGAGACTCGTGTGGCTCCACACGTTTTTGTGTTTTTTCTGGGGTGCACACGTTTCGCTATCGTGTCGCAGTCCAGTTCCTCGTGTCGCTCGTATACAATCAGCTCCTCGTCCTGCACCTTGTGCCACTCCGTCCATGTGGCTCCACATTAATGCCTTCTATTACTGCTTGCTTCTGTGCCACTCTATCAACGTGGTTGGCTACTGTGCGTTCAGATCTTCCACTCAAGCCGCGATTTGACCCTTCATGTGAGTATGCTTGGCCTGTATCATTTGTCACCGTGTGTGAGTCCATTTCTATAACTTCTCCGCTTGTCTTCACAGTGTTGTCTCGTCTCAACTCCCAACCATCGTATCTCACACCCCTCCGTCCTCCGCCCACCAGACCTGGCGTTGGGGTTTGTGTTGGACGAGGACTCCTTCTCATCGCAGGGCTTCAACGCCGCCTTCCACTACGCCAGTGCGGGCTTCGACCCCGCACAGGACAACAGCCCCTCCTGGACTGTCAAGACATTCAGCACCTGGGTCCTGCCTGAATCCGCCTGGCCTGTCAAGAACCAACGGGGTTGCGGTGAGTCGTATGGCCGCAAGGCATGGAGTTGGAACTTGACTCTTCGGGCAGGGGGGTCGTAAAGCCAAAAGAGGAGTTGAATCTTGACAAAAGTGCGTGCAAGGCTTGCAGTTATGGTTCGGAGTTGAATGTTGGCAACCTGGGCATGGGAGAGGACTTAAAGTGCCACAGCAATTCCATGCAGCCAGGTACTTAATAAGAGGATGACTCCGTAGATCTTAGCGCACCTTGTTGATATCCCATGAGCTTTGCTATAGAAACTATCGCGACCGCAGCTTGCTGCCAATCACTATGATCGCACAAGAGTGCATTACACTTCTCATGTCATGCAGGTGATTGCTGGGCATTCGCAGTGGTAGCAGCGGTGGAGGCAGCCCACAGCATTGCGTGCAACTGGGCGCAGCCCCCCGTGTTGTCGGTGGAGCATCTGCGCCTCGCCCTCTCCTCCAACTGCGACGGTGGCTCGCCCACCAAGGCACTGCAGTTCCTCCTCAACGCCACCGCACAGGGCAAGGGGCTGCTGGAGGACGCAGCGACTTCCCGAAGGCTGGCTTTTAAGAAAAGGGCGTTGGTGAGTTGCTGCACGTATTATTTAGTATTGTGTGGGTGTTGTTGCTTTTATCTGCTGTTGGTGGGGGTTTTTTATTGTGTTACTGTGATTGATATTCTGTCCGCCATCTCTGTTCCTTTCCATATTCCCCTTTTTGCTTACAGGCGAGCACCCCAAAGTACTACGGCATTCGAGGCATCGAGCGCACGGGGTTCTACGGGTGGTTTGGGCTCATGCTGGCAGTGCAGCGGCAGCCTGTCATTGTGCACATCGAGGCGTCCGCACCCTCCTTCCAAGACTACGATGGGGTAAGGCACCCTCCTTCCAAGACTACGATGGGGTAAGAAACCCTCCTTCCAAGACTACAATGGGGTAAGGCGCCCTCTTTCCAAAAATGAGTCGCACCGTGCAACGGACATGAGAGAAGAATTACCATGCATGCACATGCAAGAAACCTTATGTTACCGTCAAGCATTTGATTGCTAGTACACAAAAAATCCGAAACCAACCCCATCCATGCAGGGCTAGTTTTGAGCAAAGTGCGTACGGGTAACACACGAACGTGCAAAAAGCCACTCTACACCGAGAGCTAGACTACGTGAGGAAGCACGGGTGGTATGAGTGATCGTAGCGTTGTTCGTGTTCTCTCTACTTGCGCATTCACGGGCCACATTTGGCAAGGGCTTCACTAGCAAAATTTGAATACGGAATGAAGCAAAAGGAAATGGCAACAATGACTACATCAGATGTGCAGCAATCTAGTACATTGGCAGGTCGACCTCTAGTGCAGCATAGGGGCGAACTGCCACCACCGCAAGTCGACACCGTGCCAATGCAGCTAAGAGGCGTTGCCGACGCTGTAAGTCAGCGACCCGCCAACGCTGCACAAGATGACTTGCCAACGCTGTAGCAGGGCGGGCTGCCAGCGCTGCAACCGCAGATGATTGTATGTGCATGTGCGCGCACCTAGTTCGCAGGTGCAGAGTGATGAGCGCACGTCGTGCACCGTCACAAACATTGCGTAGCTGCCAAGTCGGCCACGTGCCGACAGTTGCGCGAGATGTGCCACGTCGACCTCGGGATACCAGCTAGCAGGTCGACTTCGTCAAAACCACATGGGCGACGTTTGTGCACCCTCGCAGAACTTCGTCGCCCAGGTTACTCGATCGACTCGTGAAGCCTAAAAAATCGGTGCCAACCTGACCGTCGGTCGGTCACCCGCATGTTGACGCCTTCATCGACCGCCCAAGCCGACGCCGTCCGCCGACTTCACGACGTCAGAGACTTCGCACAAGTCCCACAGATGTCGACGTCCTCTAAAGATTCTTTCCCAAAGTCGACGTTAACCATTGCAAGCAGCCGGCTGTCCCTCTCGAACACCCGGTTGCAAGGTCAATTTCGCCCAAGCGAGGGCGGGGCCACACTCTTGTCAACTGAACGACCATTCAGTATGTACAATGTAACTCTCCCACTGTACAGGACTGTCTTGAACGAGCCACATTGAAAAAGGGGCACAAAGCGTGTGATCAAGGTGACACTCCACTTTGAATTTTAATTTATTTCCTGTTTTATAGGGAGAAAGTGTGGAGGGTTTGGGAGATTCAGGGAAACACTGTGTGAACATACCCAAATTGTAAGACTTATTTGCCCACAACTAGACATGCATTTCGCCATCAATTTAGTTTGACTCGAATTGCTTTGATTTGAGTTGAATTGCTGAACGGTTCAAATTGCCCAACATCATTTTGCTTCGGTTCATTTTGCTTCTCATTTTGCTTCTCTATTCATTAAGCTTAATGATTCTTTTAGTACCTTCTCGCACATGTTATTTCGAGCTGCTTTTTGTTGCGTGCCCTTTCTCTCAACATGTACTTGTGACTGTATGTGTGGGCAGAGAGGCAAGTACGCGGACGAGGAGTGTTTCAGCAACCACCTGAACCACGTGGTGCTGGTGGTGGGCTACCTCGCTGCAGCCATCGACTCCAACTCTGCCGTGCATGGCGCCGCCCTTCTGGATCATCCGCAACTCATGGGGCACAGGGTGGGGCGACCAGGGCCACATGCGCATGGACATTCGCAGTGGCGACGGCATCTGCGGCATCAACACTCTCCCGGGCCTCTTCCCCGTCGTCAGAAGTAAGACTGTTAGTTCTTCATGTCGTCTTTGCAGCCCTCTGCTGGAAGTTGGTGAATTTACCCCCTATTTTCTCCATACCCCATTCACCTGATGTGTTGAGATGAGCAGGCAGTGCTGATCCGTGTGGGTCACGCTCCTTCCAGTACAGCAACCAACACTCCGGTGTGTTCAACCCGTGTGGGCGGTTCAACTGCAGCAAGAAGGGCACCAGCAATCGCTGCAAGTGCACTGACGCCCGCTTCGCTGAAGTCAAGAACACCGATGGCTCGTACACCTGTGCCTATGGTAACATGCAGCAGGGAGGGTCACTGGTGATGTGCACATGCGCACATAGAGATTCTGAAAGTGCATCGAGTGAAATTTCTTGCTTGCTTGCCATCAACCCCTACCTGGCCAGTGTCTGCCCATGCCGGCCTGTGCTCATACCCATGCCCATGTCCTTTATTGATGCCGGCCTCCCCCCACGCTCACAGCTCTCTCTGCCCATCCACATGGCCATACCCATTCCCTCTGTGCATGCCCCACACCGCCCTAAATCTTCTCCCTTCGCCCCCAGTGGACGTGTGTGGGTCCAGCACGCGCAACCCGTGTGTGGTGGGCACGTGTGTGAACGATGGCAAGGGCAGCTACTCCTGTGTGTGTCCGCCGGGGTTCATCCAGGGCACCACCCTCGCCAACACCGCCTCCTGTGCTCCCGGTAACCAGTCTCGTCCTGTGCTCCGGGTAACACCCCTCTGCTGCTCTCCTCCTGTGCTCCGGGTAACACCCCTCTGCTGCTCTCCTCCTGTGCTCCGGGTAACACCCCTCTGCTGCTCTCCTCCTGTGCTCCGGGTAACACCCCTCTGCTGCTCTCCTCCTGTGCTCCGGGTAACACCCCTCTGCTGCTCTCCTCCTGTGCTCCGGGTAACACCCCTCTGCTGCTCTCCTCCTGTGCTCCGGGTAACACCCCTCTGCTGCTCTCCTCCTGTGCTCCGGGTAACACCCCTCTGCTGCTCTCCTCCTGTGCTCCGGGTAACACCCCTCTGCTGCTCTCCTCCTGTGCTCCGGGTAACACCCCTCTGCTGCTCTCCTCCTGTGCTCCGGGTAACACCCCTCTGCTGCTCTCCTCCTGTGCTCCGGGTAACACCCCTCTGCTGCTCTCCTCCTGTGCTCCGGGTAACACCCCTCTGCTGCTCTCCTCCTGTGCTCCGGGTAACACCCCTCTGCTGCTCTCCTCCTGTGCTCCGGGTAACACCCCTCTGCTGCTCTCCTCCTGTGCTCCGGGTAACACCCCTCTGCTGCTCTCCTCCTGTGCTCCGGGTAACACCCCTCTGCTGCTCTCCTCCTGTGCTCCGGGTAACACCCCTCTGCTGCTCTCCTCCTGTGCTCCGGGTAACACCCCTCTGCTGCTCTCCTCCTGTGCTCCGGGTAACACCCCTCTGCTGCTCTCCTCCTGTGCTCCGGGTAACACCCCTCTGCTGCTCTCCTCCTGTGCTCCGGGTAACACCCCTCTGCTGCTCTCCTCCTGTGCTCCGGGTAACACCCCTCTGCTGCTCTCCTCCTGTGCTCCGGGTAACACCCCTCTGCTGCTCTCCTCCTGTGCTCCGGGTAACACCCCTCTGCTGCTCTCCTCCTGTGCTCCGGGTAACACCCCTCTGCTGCTCTCCTCCTGTGCTCCGGGTAACACCCCTCTGCTGCTCTCCTCCTGTGCTCCGGGTAACACCCCTCTGCTGCTCTCCTCCTGTGCTCCGGGTAACACCCCTCTGCTGCTCTCCTCCTGTGCTCCGGGTAACACCCCTCTGCTGCTCTCCTCCTGTGCTCCGGGTAACACCCCTCTGCTGCTCTCCTCCTGTGCTCCGGGTAACACCCCTCTGCTGCTCTCCTCCTGTGCTCCGGTACCAACCTCCTGCTGCTACCTGCTCCTGTTTCCTGTGCTGTGGGCATTGGTAGCCTCTTGGTAATACCTGCCAGATCAAATATTTTCCATCCACAGATTTGTCTTCCATGCGTCTTGGTTTGCTCGCATCTCATGCTCCATCCCTGCTGCCCGTGCTGGGTTTTGCACATGAGTGCAGGGGATGCAGAGGGAGTGTACACGGTGCAGCAGAGCAACGTGTGGTGCTCCCATGTGCATCCCATATTCGCCCTCACACTGCCCCAGTTCATCCAGCAGAACAAGGTACCTGTGTGCTGCACCCATTGATTACATGCAGAACAACGTGCCCTCACAGCCTGCTGCCATGCTTGAGTGCCACATCCATACATCCATTGGGTTCATGCATCAATTAAGGCTGTCCGGGATCGCTGCAGATCTTTGAGTGCTGCACTGATCCCATGCACGATGTCGATAGTGTTCAAGTAGTTCGTAGATGCTTTTGATAGCCGAGTAGAAGTAACGGTTCTAAAAGAGGTGCGCTTATAAATGAGGATCAGTCATTAACATGCATTGTCTCGTAGAAGTGACATCATCCCATGCATGCCCCGTCATCACATGCAAGCCCCGTCATCCCATGCAAGCCCCGTCATCCCATGCAAGCCCCGTCATCCCATGCATGCCCCGTCATCCCATGCATGCTCCACAGGGTATCTCGTGCTCCGCTCCTCTGCGGGTCAACTCAACCCTCCTTGTCAACTCCACAGTGCAACCATGCTCTGTCTTCTACACCACCTTGCTTGTGAGGGCTCCAGTAGGGGATTAACTTTAGGCCGTTGCACATGCGCACATTGTACAGCACACAGCAAGCACGGTAGCTCCACAAATTGCTAATCCACAGTTCGTTTCGCACCTCACGTTCAGTGAGTTTTCTGCGTTCAGCATGATGTTTGACCCACTCTGGAATGGCCTTTCCTCTTTCAATTTTGGTTCCTCCATGTGTTCCTATGTTTGTTCTTTCCCCAGGGCGACACGTGTGCGAAGGTGGCACGGCAGGTGGAGCTGTGTGGGGCGGCGGCGTCGGATGCGGAGTGTGAGATGGCATTTCAGGCGCTCAACCCCGCTGTCAACTGCTCCTCCCTCAGCCCCTCCCAGGCCGTGTGCCTGGAGAGGGACCCCGCCAAGGCGAATGTGACAGTGGTGTGCGACCAGTACTACCGGGCGCACCTGAGCGACACGTGCGACAGCATCAGGCAGCTGGCGGAGCCTCCTCTCAGCCCCGTGGACTTCTACCGCCTCAACCCCGGCGTCAACTGCAACCAGCTCATCCCGGTCAAGAACTACTCCCGCTCCGCCACCACCTTTGGTGCTGAGGTGAGGTGCAAGCAGTTTGGTGCCTATAGCACGCCATTTGGTGCTTGGAATGTGTTGAATGTGGTGCCGTGCATAGCATTTCATGCAGCAAATTCAATGCGTTATGCCACCACCATCTGCGCTCTCTTCCCTATGCCTGCAGGTTTGCATCGGCAGTGTCACCAACTTCACAGCTGGTATCTGTTCGAGGACTAGCACCTACACCATCTCACCTGGGGATGACTGCAAATACATTGAATTAAAATATTTCTACAGTATCAAAGGCTGTTACCGGAGAATGAATGGGTACGAATGTGTAAAGTTGAAACCTGGGGTTAGAATCTGCACACCGAGTATGAAAAAAGCTCGAACAGGAAACTGTAGCATTTGAAAAGACTCGCAATAATATATGGTGGTGGAGTGTATATATGTTTCAATGGTTGCATATTGATGCTTGGGAAAATATGTCAATGGTAACTTACATGGGGCACTAAAACGCGTACGGTAACGATTTCAACGCGTTTGGTAACTCGCTTAACGCGTTTGGTAACCTGCTTAACACGTTTGGTAACTCGTTTAACACATTTGGTAACTCTACACTAGCAGCCCATCACGCGAATGGTAACTACATGAAATTCCCACCGAAATTGAGCCTGATTCTGGTTTTTCCCGCTCGCGTCAGAATAAATTGACAAATCCTGAAGCAGAAAATTCTGACACACTCTCCGAAATTCTGACACAAAGTTCCGAAATTCTGACACACTTTCCGAAATCCTGACACACTTTCCGATTTTCAGGCAAATTACAAAAACGTAAGTTTTGTGAAAACAGCTTTTCTTACATAAATGTTTCTGGCGCACTTTCCGCAAACTGTTTGTACTTTATTCTATCGTGCAGCCGGGGCAAACAAATCTATATCCCTTTCAGATGGCAAATAAATTTGAGAGCAACAACCTTAAACTTCTTGCGACCAGGAGTTTATGGATATTTATTTAAAAAATGAAAGATGTAATTTTAAAAAGTTTTTTTTTTCACATTACAAAATCTTCCAACGTTGCAGTAAAAAAAAAAAAAGTAAACTTCCCTATGTCCTTTCGGGAATAGTTTTTTTTTATCGTTTTGCAAGTTCGCAATCATGCTATCAAAATATGATGTTATCCATTTTTGTACGAGCTACATAATTATATATAAATTCTGAACTTTTCGGTCCGTGGTAATAGAACAAACGGGGTCCTTAATTTTCGTGGCGGGACGCGTTCAAGAAAGATAATGATGTGCGTAAAAGCTCTCAAACTCGATAAATTCCTTATTTTCAGGAAGATTTCGGCGGGAATTTCATGTAGTTACCATTCGCGTGATGGGCTGCTAGTGTAGAGTTACCAAATGTGTTAAGCGAGTTACCAAACGTGTTAAGCGAGTTACCAAACGCGTTAAACAAGTTACCAAACGCGTTGAAATCGTTACCGTACGCGTTAAAGTGCCCCATGTAAGTTACCATTGACATATTTTCCCTTGATGCTTTATACTAGTTGTACCGTCATCGCCCGGATATAAGATAGTGTTGAATAGAAGACAGGGGGTGTCTCTTATAAATGGGTGTTCCAATAATACACCTACATGTGTGTACGAGATAAGACAGTGTCTTGTAATCAGAACAAGGGTTTAGGCGTTTTTTTTATGATGAAGAGGGGAGGGGGGGGGGGGAGGGGGGGTGTCTTCTAAACGATGCTTAGTTCCTAAACGGGGCTACATGCATACATTCATGAATTTCTATATCTACCTAGCCCCCTCCGTCACGGTCTCCTCATCTGCACTAACAGCTGGCTCTTTAACACCCAGGTCTGGCACTCGCCAGGCATGCCCAGCCGACTGCCTAGGCTAGATTATGCGGCCAGCCTCGGCCGCCGCTCAGTAGTAGTTGGGGGTCTCTTGGTACAGCACCTCCAGGCCGGTTGCCACGCCGTCCTCCTGACCCCGCCCTCCGCCTGCATCTCCTCCTCCTCCTCCTCCTCCTCCTCCTCCTCCTCCTCCTCCTCCTCCTCCTCCTCCTCCTCCTCCTCCTCCTCCTCCTCCTCCTCTGGAGCCTGCCCAAGCAGGGGCGTGTTGTCGCCTGTGGTCCTCCCGAGGCACATGTGCTTGGAGACAGCGGTAGTGCTCCTCGTGCGCAGGTGAGACATCACCAGGTGGTTCTCCGTCCCGTCCAGCTTGCTTGAAATCCCAATGTGGCAGAACGCGTCAATGATGACCTGTTGGGGGACTTGATCCTATGCCTCCGCAATCCACTGCAGCACGGGGTGCGGAGGTCACCTCAGGTTCCCTGCGAGTGGGACAAAGGCAAGGGGAACGTGCCGTTAGAGACGTGAAGGGGTAACAGAGCTGAACTTTTATATAAACTTTACTCAACCTTCTTCGTCTTCATGTGAATCTCTTCATGCATGAACCACCTAGCCTTGAAGCACCCGTTGATGGAGACGTCTAGGGGTTGTTCAACCAACTGGGATTACTGCAGGGGTGATGCTGTGTGTCCGGTACATTTGGAACACCAGCATCGCTCGTTTAGCGTTATGGCCGCGTTGGTCGTTCAGATGGGGCAGCACCTCCACGGTCAGTCAGGTCTCCACAGCGCCCTCGTCCATCCACTCGTTATCCTGTGCTTGGACCACGACTCCTGCCAGGCACAGAGCGAAGAGAGGGGCGTCAGCCAAGAAGGGCGTCTGCTCTACACTATTGGAAATCCGAATTCGTTTAGCTTACCTGCCAGAATGTCACACTTCGATACAATCTTCAGCTTGAACCTAACCCACGGGCGCAGCTTCTCCCCGGATGCAGTACACACGAGCATCACAATTAGCCGCTTCTTCTCGTATCTTGCCGTACAGATTGGGACCGATCGCGCGCCACGATTATCAATCGTCCTTTCGGTTGACATCTCAAAAAAGAGAGGTGTCTGGTCCACGTTGATGATGCGGGTGGGTCAATATTGTGCCGCGCCCTGTTGATGCGCACAAACTTCCAAAACGCCTCGCACTCCTTAGCGAACTTTGCCAAGGAAAAACACCGCACAGCATGAGGGGGTGGGTATAAACATGTAAGGTGCTTAGAGTGCTCGGCACTGTCACGATTCTAATCCGTGTGTCGAACAATAGATATATCATCGTGACAAATATGACAGAATGTGATAGAATAGAATATTGGAAAGTGCAGTAGGGAGTATAGTTAGAGATCCGGCTAGTGTCGAAGCGACACAACTGAAAAGCCGAGAGGTGGCAGGCGAAATAGGGAACCGTTGGTAGAACGGTAACCCAACAAGAGTACTTAAGAATTAGGAAAGCGTAGGGAGGATTGCTTGCCTGATTGTTTTCACACTTACTCTTATAACCGCTAAGTTCCATGAGCAAAGGTTACGTCTGAGAAGCCAACCCACGCAAGCACCAACCGCGTTGCCTAACTATCTGCCTGTAGACAGTCGAGCTAGGGTTTGAGCTCCAGTTCAGGCACGGCAAAGGACATTTTCAACAATCACGCAAGGGAGAACGAGATTGTGGCCAGGCACGGACGAGTTAAGACCTACGGCAGGGTGGCGGACTGCTGCCGCACGAGCATCCGAAGAACGTATTGGCGCGGCACGCGCCATCGCCGACTCATTGAAATACAGGACGCCGCACCAACACGCACGCGCAGTGGAAGACGGCATGGAGTCCGGGCGTGCAGTAGTATCACACCCTGGAGATACCCCATTGGACACGCGCTGGACCGAGAAAGTACGGGAAAGGTGGAGGAACCAAGAAGCCGCGACTCCACCAACCGGCATGCCGGGTATGGCCCCGAAGAAGGACCGGATCGACGCGAGCTGGAAGCCGAAGGAAGGCCTCGGGTCGGAGTCGTGGGACAGGAGGGCTCTAGTATGCAGCGGCGTTGCGGGAGCGCCAGACGGTGCGCGGGAAGAACACGGCGCTGGCGGGACGCACTGGAAGGCTACCAACCTGCCCAAGGTAGAGGTGGCCGAAAGGTACACGGGGATCCCTGGCGTAGGGCCCACGCCGAAGAACTATCTCATGCAGCTTGAGACCGTGCAGTACTGCTGGGAGCGCGACGGGTACGACCCAGCCGAATTCTTCCGAAAGATGGTGGGGACGTTGGCGGGAGAGGCGGAGACCTTCAACCGTCTAACGCGGGATGAAGTTCTGGAAGAGCTAGCTGCTGGAGACATAGCCAATCCGACGGCACGATTCTTGCAGCTGTTGCGGAAGGAGTTTGCGGGACAGACTAAGGCGCGCGTCGAAGAGTTTCGGGACTTCCGCCGGAAGAAGGAAGAGTCGCTGCTGGCCTACTACTGTAGACTCCGTGAACTGGCTGAAGATTTGGAAAGCTCTGACAAACGATTGCTGGTGAGAAATTTTGTGAGGGGACTCGATGACGAACTAAAGGGAGTAGTGCGCAGAACATTCTACAGTATTGGCGCAGACGTCACCTTAAAGGAAGTGTACCTACTGACGAAGAAGACGGAGCAGGCGCAGAGACTGCTAGATCTGGAGGACTCGGAAGGGAAGGGCCGAGCGAAGACTAGTTGGGCAGCGGCGGCGGTACCGGACGTGGTGTCTGGGGGCAGCAGCCGATGCGACTCTCGACTTTGTCACACTTGCGGAGAACACGGACACTTGAAACGTGACTGTCCCAGTGCTCCGACGTGTGAGCAGTGCGGAAAACGCGGACACCGGAAGGAGGACTGCTACAGTCGGCCGAGAGACACGGTGGGGGCAACTCGAGAGGAGCTTCAAGCCGAAGTGCGGCGGCTCCAGTTGAGATTGGAGCAGCTGCCCAACCCGAAGGAAGTAAAGGTGCGGGCTGTCACACAATTATGAAAGGCATAATATAAATAGGTAGCATAAGTAACCTTCATGTAATTGTGTGACAGAGTAGTGTAGCACGCTTTGTAGCGGATATAGGCTAGCGGCGGGAACGCCGAAAAGGGGTAACGGCTTTCCTAGCGGGAAAGCCGAAAGCGAGGTCAAGAAGGAGGCAACGGTAATAGTAAGAGTGATACTTAGAGGCGCAGAGAGCCCTGAGGCCTCTGCTTGCTTGTATGTTTCCTCAATTAGCTAAACTTCTTACCAAACCCTAGCTCGAGGAGCCAGTTCAAGCAAGAGCCAGCCGAGTTCTACTGTGTGGTTAGTGAGTGCAGTGCGTAGATTACCACATACAAGCAAGGAATGACTGACGATGTATTGCTCCGCTCAGGCTTTAGTTATCAGAGGCGTACGATGGAGACGACATCCGCCACGCCAGGTTGGCGGGCCCACGCTAATAGCCTTCCATCAGATGAGCGCAGCTCCCCCGCTTCACATAGGAGTGACTCGCCGCGCTACAGGACGCCCCATCAGCGAGAGCGCG